AATCGAGAGTTTTGAGCTCTGATCTATCCTACTTCAAAACAGCTACCAGTTTTTAATGAGTGCTCCTGTGCACGGTAAATTCGGTTCACTTTACTCAGGTAGGAATTATCAGAAAGTTTGTTATCATTGATATGAATAATTCTTCCTGATGCACACTCGGGCTATGGTTGCAATGATCTTCCATGCTGGTTCCTTTTTTTTTCTGCGAGTATAAGCGAATTTGAGTATTTGATTCTCTTTCCATTTGGCTTCCATGGGCTGTGTATTTCATAGGAGGCCCTGCGGTTTGCATTCTCTTAGAAATGGGGCATTTCGAAGTGGAGACCATTCTCAAAACATACTCTACGGTTTGAAACATAATGTAGAGGTACATGCATTAGAGGGAACCAACGTATAGTTCCGATTCACTTCGAGGTGCTGAAAGCAGCGTCCTTAGGCGTCCTAAGGTTTTCTCACTCAATAGTAATATTAAGTGTTTCTAAATTACTCAAATTCAAGTTTTTTTTGTGTTCGTTATGTCACTGTCATTGCTATGCTAGATTTGATGTCTCCACCGGGCATAGCAAATGAGTAACGACAGAGTCGCACCTTCAGTACTCCCCTGTGGCAGTAATAAATGAGGGACGTCATTCTTTGACAAGGTCAGAATGCCTACCACCCGATATTAGCTAGCTTGCCAGTGATGAAGTTCTTCAAAAATGCATCGCTCGAGGGTTGGCACATTTTTTTGGAATCTTTCAACAAAGGTTAGTTTCCCCCTTGGGCCCGCTCATTCTGGAGATAGAACTGTAGCCAAATATACTGGCGACAAAAAATTTTGGCCAGTGTGGGCGATACAGTGAAGGGTAGACAGCGCGAGTTTGTTTTACAAAGTTATGTCTACTAAAAAACTTACCGAATTACCACTCCAAGTACCATTCATTGTCTATTGAAAGCTGCTTTGAAGTAAGATATATCAGAACTCAAAAGTACTCTCGATATAACCACTTCTAAGTAGCTAAGCAGCATTAAGTAAGGGATGTAGAGGCGAAAGAGGGCAAAAAATCGCTCAAAAACGGACAAAAATGGTTGAGTAGGAGATTCGGACGCAATCGGTTGTCTATGTTGGCTCACTGCCAACGTAGGTCGATCAAGGACGTCAACCAAGACATTAATAAACGTGGACGAGTTGTCCGACCCACAAAACGCATCGCATCGGCAGAGTGGTGGGTGGCAGTTACGGCCGATGCGCCCCAATGGCAATCCGGCCGCGCCGCACGACCGACTCTCGTAACATCCTCCATGGGGCACCGCAACCGCTTCATATTGTACTTCGCAAATGAAGCGATACGAGCATACTATCGGTCGTACATTTGTGGGGGGGGGGGGTGGGCCAGGCAGGTATGTTGCAGCTTGATAGGGCGCTATAGAGGAACCTTTCTCGGTAAAAGCGACACGCAGCGACTGCTCAGGGGCGCGAAATCTGTCCCGCTATGCGTGTTAATCCTGCAGGTCAAGGATTTACGTGCCACTTGCCTTTGAACGCCACTAAGCACAATATGCGATCGGGGTTGTATTTAAGTGAGCGCCTTTGCTCATAAGTAGCCCTTCGCAAAACGACAAAAAGGGTAGTAATCGCTAACTCCGCTCATCCAAATAGTGTTATATCTATCATTTGTGACCAATCATCACAACATTGACACGAAAATGTTATGCAAATGCGAGATTTCACTTTTGCATTGACCAAAGCTGTTCAAAAGCTGCTGTTTACGAAGGGAGCAAGTGGACTCGAAAAAGAAATGATGCTTCTGAAAAGCTATCAAACTCCCGTTATAGGTTCCAAAGTAACCATTCGTAATCATTTAAGAAGTCGTTTAAGTCCTTTTCGACTAGCGTCAGGGTATTGCTCACTTTTGACTTGACTTTTCAGATTTCAGATAGATTCAAAAATACAGTGAGTATCTAGGGAGGAATCTCGTCGGGAGGATAACGTGAAAAACTTTTGTTTATGAGGGTCTCATCAAGCCACAGTTAGACTGCATTAAAGCATCGCGATGAAACGCTCGACGCAATACCTGTGCAAGACACTCCAATGGCACAGCGCAATTGTAGGTGTTATTGAGCAACACCTACCCTCCGGTTCTCCTATACTCACTCAAAACACTAGTGCTGTCGCTGATCGATACCTGTCCTTCCCGTCAAAAGCATTGGATGCCTGAATGGTAGAGCGCCCAAACGCGTCAATGCCATGTCTAAACCTGCTTTAGGAATCAATTCTGGAAGCTTCGAAACACATTTGGTGATATTCAAGGGTAACGAAGCACATAGCGCTGATCACCCTCCTATGAGATCTGAGGCCGTATGCTATACTTCCCCTAGAGGGACGATATCCCTAGTAGTTCTTCACTCTCTGCCCTTATCTCTGCTGACGCCTCTCGTCTCTCTCTGGCTCTCGCCGCTCTGCATCCATACTCTTCTGGCGCACGCTCTGAGCGAATATAGTACAGCGCAGAGAATAATCAATCTCTTCCCTTCTCACCCAACATTTGCCGCTGGGAGAGATTCCGGGTGAGTGGGCGGAACAGAGATGCAGAGAAGCTGAAGCAGAGAGACGGTGGGCATTGATAGATATAACGGCAGACAGCGGAGGTTTACTGAGGATATCTCCCCTCGAGGGAAGTGTTAAATCGCAATACGGCCCCTGTATTTCTGCCTGATCGCAAGAAAGAAGTTAGCTGTCACCGTTTCGCGAGTACATTCGATGCGCCAAAACGCTGCCTTTGGATAAGATAGTTCTGTCCACAAGTAGATTGAGGATGTACTACTTGTCACGTGCTTGAAGAATACGAGCTTTCTGTGGGCACAAGTATTGCGGATGCTACTACTTTCACGCTTGAAAATACTTGATAACAACAATACCCGATTGCGCGTGAAAGGCTGCGTTCCTCACCGCTAAGCATGGCCCATATCTGAGGTTCCATGGTGGGTGCGTTCGCTCCTCTAATTAGCTCTTTCTAAGGTACGAATGTCGCCACAGCGCCCTCGTTCGACGTTGTAATAACGGACTAAGCTTGCTTCGGCATGCGTGTTTATCTTAAGAAGATTCCAGAGACTTTTCTCCTTTTCCTTTAACTTGAGGTGATAACGCCTTTCATTAGTGTTTATGCCCCATTACTCATCGCTTGTTGCGCTGAGACGTGCCTTTGAGACATAAGACACATTCTGCTATGTACTCGATAACGCGAGCACGACCATAGGGGGATTCAAATATGAAAGTGGAGCTGATCAGCGAAAGAAGTATGACAGAAGAACCGTCCAAGGCTCGAGTTCAGCAGATAAACTCGAACATTTATGAGCGTATGACAAAGAAAGTGGAAGCCCGGACATAAGACATGCGGGACAACGGCGCTCTTCAGGTCAACATTTTATTCCCTTCGAAAAGGCTTTCTCGATTGAGGACGTCAGGGACAAACCCCACGAAACGTCGGCAATCGTGAACATCCTACTATAGTATAATCCGCTAAGTTTGTCTGTTGGCGTGTGTGTATGTGTGTTTGAACCGGAAAGGTCATACTTCTTCAAAAATAAGCGATAAAACGCTCAATTCAAAAGTTGATAGAAGGGTCGGGCAGGAACATTGGTGGTGGATGGCAGGAAGTGATAAGAGCTGATAAGATAGCATACCGGGGCTTAGAAGGGGAGGGTCACCAACTCCATAACGCGGGCCACAGCAGCGATGGGGCGTTGGTTTCATGAGGTAAGATAGGGTGCAGGATGGGAACATTATTGGTGGATGACAGGCCATGATAACAGCTGATAAGATACGACAAGGGGGCTTAGAAGGGGTGAGTTGCCTAATTCGTAACGTCGGCCACAGTAACGACCGGGCGTTAATTTCAAGAGGTAAGTTAGTGTGTAGGTTGGGAGCATTATTGGTGGGTGACAGGCCATGATAACGTGATAAGATACCACAAGGGGGCCTAGAACCTGTGTTCCACCAACTTCATAGCGCTGTTCACAGCGGTGGTAGAGCGTTGCTTCCAAGAAGTGATGTAGGGGGCAGGATAGGATCACTGTTGATGGGTGGCAGGAAGTGATAACAGCTGATAAGAAAGCATAAGGGGCTTCAGAAAAGGAGGGTACCAACTTCATTGAGCGGGCCACAGCGACGGTAGAACCTTCCAAGAAGTAGAATATAGGGCAGGATTGGAACATTATCGGTGGATGGCCGGAAGTCATAACAGCTGATCGGCTGATAAGATACCATAGTTGGACAGGAAGCCTTAAAAATTCATAACAGGAATTGTGGTAACACGGGATATCCTTCTAGCACGTGACTCGGGATTGGTTTTACGAGACAAGTTGTGTGAACTAGATTTTGTAGACCAGAATCAATGGGCAAAGCCGTGGTGAGTTAAGATGTTTTTATTCTTCAGCGATGTAGTTGGAACGACCGCTTAATCCACGATTTCGACAAAAAGTGATAGCTCAAGATAGCGGGTGTTCTCAGATTTTGATAAGCAGCCGACACGGCAGATGGCAAATGTTCATTAAAAAAGAGGAATGCAATACAATCGGCTGTATTTCGAAACCTGGGAATTAAACCAAGTGTTAGTGGGCAACACAGTAATCCTGACAGTGACCAGTACCATGTTAACCATGCGCGCAGTATTGCGCGACAGCCAAACTGGTTATTCTATAGCGGCCATGGGTGTTGCTTACCGGCCTAATCGTTGAATGAGTGGAAATCGCAAGGAGTGAAGAGAAGTAGGGAAGCGAAGAGGAGGCTGGGGACAAGGGAGTTAATGAGACAGGCTTAGAAGAAGTAGTTATAGTGCGGTGAGGACTCTCACAAATAATGAGGCGACGGTGAAGAGCTGGGCCACCGTACAGTATTCACACCAGACTCTGAGGTTACATGGTCACACCCAGCTTTCCAACAGAATGGAGCCATCTGACACAGTGAACAGGATAGCTTGTGAAACTGGTAGGGAACGGAAGTCATCTAGATGTGGAAATCATTAGATTTTCAGCCAGATCAATACGCATTCACACCAAATCCTCAAAAAGTCCCGCATCTGCTTGTGTTTGCTCCTTTGTGCAGAAAGAGATTCAACAGAGACGAACCTGTAGGTAGTGCCTAGTGCAGACGGGTCCTTAGCAGCCGATTTGCATGGGGACAGGAGAGCAGAATGACAAGGCACAAACACATCAGCTAAAATCACTAAGTTAGGCTATTCCTGTTGCCATCATATCCCAAACCGAGATAGTGTGTTATATTAAAGCTAGAGTCATGTAAATTCACCTGGCGTTCCAATGAGCAGCACGTATCGAAAGAGGCCGAACGTACTCTTCTTAGACAGTCGGTAGAGAAACGAGTCGGAAAATGAGACTTCATCCTTCAATGACAACTGCTCCATGGATCGGGATTTCTTCCACCTTTAAACGATTCAGCCTTGGTTAACGTCGTTTCGAAAACGTGGTGAGAGTCTCTTCCCACTCTACGGCCATTCCACGAGAATAAGCGAAAACAGGCTTTCATTTGTATACAGCGCTACCTTCCCGGATTTTGAGCAACTACAGGCCGCTGTCCATGTGTCATGTATTGGTGCGACATCACAAAATAGTTCATGAAGTACTGGGCTTACTGTGGAAACATCTGCTGAGCGTATGTTCAAAACATTCGTTATCAGTTGCAGCACAGTGGAACATCGCCATGGGAATGCACATGCTGCTTAAATCTGGAGAGAACTGTGACTGGGATTCTGGTACACCGCTACAGAAGAGATTGCTTGGCAGTCCAATCACCTCGAATGAAACACTAGGCTGTATTAGCGACCGAACTGCTCAGCTCAATAAGCTCAAATTCCTCAGAGGGTGACGCGAAATGAGCATGTTCAGGGAAGTTTGCTTCATTTTCGGTTCAACATTCATATTATGCGAAAAGAAATGGCTTATAAATTAGTGTCGCCGCTTTGAAGTAAGGTCGTGTTCAAAGCTTGCGATAGTGACGAAATTTAAAATTGAAGAAATGCAGAATTGGCGAAAATTCGAAACATACCGGTTCAAAGCAATGCAGAAATGCAACTGCAGTAAGTCGATTTCGTAACTATCGCAAGCTGTGAACGCGGCCTAATGTAACTGACAGTAGAAGACGAAATAACTTCCATCCTAAATAGTGGTCATACCCAACATAATCGACGTAACCGACGTTTTCGACGTCGCATCGATACGTACCTCATTTTCATTGCGTCGGTTACGTCGACGCCGTGAGATATGAACATAGCCTAACGCGTCAAGGATTGCATGCAAAACTTAAGAAAAACACCAGAAAGAGCTCATGATAAAGTTGTTAACACACCATTGCATGACCTGTATTCCTAGGTTGACGCCTCTTCCAACATAAGCCAGACCGAGATGTGGAGTGTTGATTGTTAATAGGCAATGTAACCGAGGGACGAGCCAATCTGATGCGTCCTCTCGAGTGATTGCCGTCCTCACAATAACTCCTCCAAGCGAATGAGCAATGAAGCTTAAAACGACATATAGATTAAAGAAAGACACATCTTTATACAGTATGATGGATAGGATATGCATACCATTGCAACCAAAGTATGGGCCCCTTCGGTTTTTCACCATAACTGAACTCAGCTTCTCATGCGTTTTATTCGAATTTTGAGATGTTTCAAATGGAGGTGTATTTATTCAAACAGCAAGTATGCATTGGATAAAAGGTGTTATTGAAATCCACAAGTTAGCCGAATTCGTCGTAAATTTCAACTGCCTGTGACAAGCTTGTAACTCAACAAAACAAAAAAGTGCACAACATCCAAGGACGACGGGACGCGCAAATTTCGGGGGTACTGTACACCCCCTAACAACCTGAACTTATAATCTTGTAACATCGTATAGCTGGACACAAAACACTTGGCACTGATGGCACTCGACATGCCTAACATGAAGTCAATATGTAATTTCACTGCGAACTTTTTACAGATCGTCTTTCACCACTTTTCAAAATGGGCGAGTTTTCCTCTCAATCCCAACCCTTTTTTAGTAGCAGAAGTCATTTGGGTTAAGCGACTTTGAAAGTCTTGGAACCGAACCGATACTAGAGAACTTAGCTAGAGACGCGATGCCTCAGCTGTTTTCATAGAAAACAATTTCTTCATACATCACCTCATGGATGGATAAGAGAATGGGGAGGGGAGGGAGGGGTGGTTCTTATTGTAGCATACACATTTCCATTCATCACAATTTGAATCAATTGGACTGTCCACACTTTTTCGGTAGGGTGCACTTCAAACCATGAATGAAACCTCGACTTGGTTCAAGGCTGAAAGCTGGCACTTTGGGGTTCACCGTTAAAGCTACAACGTTGGATCACTGCAAGAAGACAGCTCAAGCATGCACAAGCCCAGTCCACTCATATTTTTCCATTGCATAAATGTATGGTTGCTACAGATGGCGTTTTCCTTCAGCGCAGCATCCAAAAAATGACCACATTTCTCGGAAATAAATCCGAAAAATTTCGCGGGGCTTCGTGATCTTATTCGAAGTAATGAGGCGAGGGCCACTGCGCGACAAGGGCAGTGGAGGTACACTGGTCACCAAAACTGTACAGCGTGGTAGCATCTAAACTCCTCTGGTCAGCGTGACCCTCCATGATACCACAGGCCTAAGGGAACTTTTTCCGCGAAAATCTTAAGTCACGAACCGCAGCGCAATGCTTTAAGATCTGCCCTTTCGACATATGAAGTTGTTTTCTTCACTATTAAAGGTAACAGGTCCCAAAAAAGGTTTCCTGTCTTGAGACCTGTTGCCTTCGCCATAATTGCTCAAATTAACACTATCTACTCAGCGACGTATAAGTTCCAAAATGATTCGAAAGTTGGAAACATAGTTTATCTCGCTTTCCGGACGAATATGGGAAAAACTGATATCTGGCCCACAGTTGCTCCAACCTCGACAAAATTGACGACTGCACTCTTCTGCCTTTGGACACCATCCATATTCTTTCAGGCATTTCATTAAATTAAGATGTGTTGTGGTCAAAAATCGAGACCGCTGTATTATACTAATGGCGTATTTTCGTGTATAAGGAACGTAATTAAATTTTATAAAATTTACCTGATGCGTGTGGGCAATTCACTATATCGTGACAGGTAAGAGTGCACTTCTGATAGAAGATTGTCCGCCATTTCATCGAAATTAGACCACGTTTTGAAATGGTTTGAAGCACTAAGTAGATAATAGAATCCAGGGACACTATCAGTCACAACCCGAAAAATGTTTCTGTATGATGAAAGATCATCACAGGTTCCTGAAATTAGTCTGTCTCGAGTAATGCTCACGCTTTGTTCGGAATTTTATCCACTGGAAACTGCAAGTGTCGTACGGTCCATTCGGACTTACAAAGTCGAAGTGGTAGGAAGCACGCGTTGCCACTCAACAGGGAAATTGAACTTTTTCTCTTCGAACACAGAATGCCCTTCACTTTTTGATGCAATTCCTGCCACACCACTCAAGCATGTGCTTCAGCTATTACTTTTTGAACATCTATATGCCTACGAGAGAACCTTCCCCCACCGGAACGCCCACATCTCGATTATCTATCGTGAGGTTACTCCCGCTGGCATTATGTTCTCCACCTGTCAAGCCAAAGATACAACACAGTCGCAATTGGTGAGTGGGATCCAAATCGCAATTGGTGAGTTGAATCCAAACATGAATTTATTGATGCGTAGCCAATTGAATTGCCACTTAAGTAAAAGGAACCGAATCGTCAGAAATATCCTAAATGGGATCTCATAATTGGCCGAGCATTTGGAGAAGGGAGACACTCAGCACTTTTGAGAGACCAGGGACAAAGGCGACAGAAAAGAAAGATGAGACGACTACACGGTCCCATACACTTCTGATAGGGTCTTACAGAGAGAAAGAAACAGAAGACAGAGAGAACAGAGAAATGAACGTAACGTGTCATATCTATGCTTCCAAACGTAGGACCGCTGGCTCCTCTCGCCCACACATTCAAGAGGCGATACCTACGAGTGGCGTTCCATCTGGCAATGACTTCCACAATGCCCTCGTCAATAACTGCTGAGTCACAAAAAGGAACAACTACCGTAATTGTGGACCGCTTTTCTCATACTGTGGGTTCTACAAATTAGGTGTTCACGAGTCACGTTCAATGTGCCTTTATGAGAGGATTTACTGTAACAGGTTAAACTAATCTTACAAACCTTCCAGTCCGTGTACAAACACAACTAAATGCGTGGGCGGCCTACTGGAAGGTGCGTATTGCCAAGGAGAGGCCTGCTCACTGAAACAAAAAAAAACAAGAAAATGCTGCTGTGAAGTGAACTGCTGCACTGAAGTGAAGATACCTGTATAAATAACCATCAAAAAGTCTTTGCTCCAACAGGGTTGCTTTCAAATGTTCGCGTTCGATCACAAAATCCACAGCTGAAGTGAGATCTTGCTCAGAAGGTGCTAACGATTCTGGACTGACTTCGGGATATAGTGGCAGGATTTTGTTAAAGTCCGCTGTAACTCAAGATTACGATACCATTTTCCAATGAATCTTCTGATCTTACTGTGATGTAATGAGTGCGGTCGCCCATTGGAGGTTTTTCTTCGCAGACCTGGAAACCGAGAACCAGTTCCTCGTGGCAGAGACAAGCGATGATCAGCGTTAAAACCATCGCCTGCGCCTCCAGCATTTGCTAGTGGAACCTGAAGTTTAAGAAAGGAATTTGCCACTGATAAAGTGGAACGTCACGCACCTTCTTGTCACACATTCCATTTCCACCGGAAGTGCTAGGATGGTCCATGAGAAACCGCTCCTCGACAATGAGACACCTAGAGAACGATAAATTGAGACTATTAGGAGTGAAACGGGAATTTTGAACCCTACCAGTTATCTAAACTGCAGTCCAGTTCACGGCAGAAGATTGGAAATCGAGGTAGCTTCTCGAGATACTTGCTCTTCGAAACAACTGAGAAAATCTAAATCATTTCTATAGTGCCGTACAAGGCAGCCTGATAAATTTGCTAATATCAGCTCGCCTTTTCCAAACAATTATTTTTGGAAAGTTCGAATGGCGAACTTTCCATGAAGAAGAAAAGCTCAGACAGCAGCTTGTCGCGGAACTTCCTGTGTTCTTGCAACAGCGCAGAAGAAATTGCTAAAAATTGTGTGCAGATAACAGAGTCGAACGAGTTAGAGGGAAATTCCAGAAGTGAGTCGATAAAGAAAATGGGAGAAGTTTATGCCGTAGCATCCCCATCAAAAATGTAAGTTGTAGTTACAGTCATGTGTGGTGCCAAGAGTTTGTGTATGCTGTGTATGCAAATCAAGCTACTAGCAGTTTGAACAACTAAGGGTATGAAATAATGACCCCTCGAGGCACCGAAAGAAAGTTTCTTAGTAATGTATTGATAATAATACAGACAAAAGATACCGGGAGATCCTACACATAGTCGAACAAGTTGACTGTACAAAAGTGAAAGACGGGCGCTTAAAACTACGGCCGTATTCTCCACCTCATCCCACGGGTTGACTGCCGAGTCGAGGCGGCTTTTCAATGATTCCATTTCCGCTGCAACATCGCATACATCTGAAAAAAGCAACATAAAAGATAACAATCAATTTTTTTATCCGTGCGATTTTGTTGAAATCCTTGATTTTGCAGATTGAGTCAGCAGAAAAACTAGAGGAAACAGAAATGAACGCTGAAGCAACACACCAGTATGGACAGATGCCATCATCTTTGGCTGGTTCCTCGTCACGAATCGCTGTATGGAATTCATGGCATGCAGCAAGGTGCTTCCCGTCAACAAATGAACGTTCCTTGACTTTGTGTCAAGCGACTAAACTTATCCGTAACATGACACCCATTTATCGAGCGAAACACCAAAAAAAAACGGGTAGAAAAAACAAACCGGATCAGGCGGTTGCCTTCTTCTGCGCGGTAATACGGAGACCAGCGATGAATAAGCTGTAAGTGTAAGAGCGGCGTATGCTGAGTGCTCAAAGAACAGAATTCGGGAAGCAGCCATAAGGTTCGCGGGAGAAAGGGATATTTCTAGTGTTCGCTTGCTCTCTAGCTCAAATAAGGAGAGATTCGGAGGTCTGTGACGGTCCATTGACCTGCAAGAAATTCATCTAACGAGGTCGTACAAAGGGACCGTGCATTAAATAATTCATAACCTACTATTTCAAACTAACCGACCATAACTCAATATCAACAGCGAGATGGTATGGCGAAGTCAGGTTTATGTGTGGACCAACATGCAAAGAAATGACAAATGAATCACCTGTAAATCATATTAATCATGACATTGTATCGCAGCTTGCAATGCGTCCTGCCACCAAACTGTCACTATCGAGGTGAAGTAATGAGCAAATTATTAGCAAAAAAGACCAGTGCTGTTTCATTTCGATCCCGTCAGAAATTCTGTTATTCTACTGATCATCATCATGAAAATTTATCGTTAGTAAAGAAACTTCTTGCGCTATCCAGTGTTCGAAGCACATTTCTCGCTCTCTCCAACAGGTTCATCAATTTTGTTCTGAAGTAACTCTTTTTGTTCTTAGATGACTGAAAGTATAATAATATGGACAAATGAGATCCCCACAAGTATTCAAATTCAAATTGGGCAGGAAATTGGCAGAAACGGTTCGATATATCAACGAAACTCTTGGTTTTGACTAGGAGTCCGCCAACATACAATGGAGCTTTGAAAGAAGAACTGGGTAGATCGATAGCTGCAACCTGTACTTCACAAGCAACTTATGAACAGGTAAGTTTGTAATGGTGCAGTCGAGTGGAGTCTTGGTGGTGAGCTGTGGAGCATAAGCGATGAATCGCATACATCGTGTAGAGTCGTGGTGATTCAGCGGTAAGGTTCGACGTTGGCTCGACCTATGCGATTCCTCGATTATGCTTCAGTTCTATCGAGGGTCTATCAGCTCCCTTCAGCTCTATCGGCTCTACCGATCTACCCAAGTCTCCATTCAAAGTTCAATGGTAAGTTGGCGGACTTCCCTGGTGGGACTGCACGCCTGTGGTATAAGGAAATTTCGCACCGACGATGAGGACTGAGCATAGTTTACCAACCGAGAGCATTCGGCGTACAGCGTGTTGCCGCGAGATCAAAGGTTTTGAGAAGGGCTGATAAGCCAAATGCAGGAGATCAGAACCTCGATATAAGTGGGTGCCGAAGAAACTGTGCCAATACCAGAAGGACCATCATTCCGAGATCTCCTCCACTCTGCTTTCGCGCAACAGAAACGACCCCTTTAAATCGCAGTGTGACCGCAGAATGGATTATAGTCGACACTGGCAACGATCTGGCCAATGGTTGGACAAAATCAACCCCCTCAACCTTCCCCTAGCCGAAGCAGCAAGGAAAGAAGACTGATGGCGGTTTGGTCAGTCAGCCAGATTTGGTGGTCTGCAGTCGGCCCGATCCGCCATAGCTCTATAGATTTGAGTGAGATCACTGCACCTGAAAAGTATCATGATGTTGACGAAAATCGCCGTGCCTCGAGCTCATGAACCCGGCACCGGGGCTGATCACACTTGAAGACAACACTCAGCCTACGTCGCACAACCAACCCCAATGAAATAGAACGAGCTAGGTTAGGAATTTGCCACATTCTCAGGACTACCCGCACTGATTACCGATTCATCAAACATCTAGACAGCATCAGGGGAAAATGCCTCAAAAACTAGCACAACGCTACAGCTACATTCACAGTTTCATGGCTTTTAGATCTCCGAACTTATACGCAAGTGAAAGTTCAAACTCAACAAACTCGCTTCTCGAAGACAGAGCTGTGTTGAAGTGTTCAGCTAGATAATACTGTTCAACGCCGCAGTTCGAGCTCCGAACGTTTTCACAAGAATGCAGAGTGGTGGACAACAGTCACACTCCAAGCATAACTAGAACCTGCATTTCCCGCTGACTGGGCGAGCGCTCTATCATTACTCCACAAAAGTCATGAGTTCAGAGGGTTAGAGCAGCAACGGTAGCTTGAACTCGCCCGATCAGTGAGATGAGAGTCCAAGTCCCACCTGCTGTCTGACTTTCGCCCATGACTCAGCATTCTTGTGCTACGTGATCAGTATGCGTCATCGAGGCTTTTCGAAACTTGTTGCTTACCTATTGACAAGGTTTCATCAATGTAAGTGAGCTCGACTGATCGAGATATTCCAGTACCATCAAGAATAGTAGGTGGTAGGACACCTGAACCAAAACTACCACTGCTGCATTCCACATATTGAATATCTACAGATGAGAATAATTGTGAAGACTTCGGAACGAGACGAACCTAAAGAGAAAACAAAAAAATATCGTCTGCACTTAAGGTGAGCATTCTACAATACAAATGGTTTGAGAAGTTTGAAGTTACTTGGTTGAAAAGGTGGCTCATAATCCTTCCACTACATAAAACAGAACGTAATAGAGCAAAAATTAGCGCCGATCCTGGTCGTGGGCGCTCTGCCAGGCCCGAACCTAGACGTCGACGCGATACCGCGCGCCTCTTGCCCCTTCACCCGACTAGGTTAGAGCCGGAAATTCTATCAAAGGAATTCGAAAGAGAATCTATGCCTTCCCCAGATTCAAAATCCAATTTTGAATGCGAGTGTGGCCTCTAGGATGAATTGCGTGAGAGCCAACCGACGTACAAGCCGGTCTTTTTATTCTCCATAACAATGAGATCTGTGGCGCTAACGAGATTTATTCAACGCGTCTTCTCCCGGTCTGTCTTGATAGTCTTGATGGGAGGGGGGTACAAGGTGGCGCTGACAATGCTCCCCCTACCCCCCCCCCAACTATGTACGTTAGCACCGGACCTGGTGGTAATTCTTGGCACAGGTTGCAAGGGTCCAGGCAGAATCGGATCAGTGCTTTGACCGACACATTACGACTGCTTCGCCCTCAAATTAATGTCACCATGATGTATCAGAATCTCTCGACAAACTTTTCTTATCGTTCAACCACGCGATGAATTTAAGCCTTCCCACCACAAATGGTAATGTAAAGGATAATGGAATAACACAAAATCATACTCCAAATACTGACCTGATAATATCCTCTTGTTGCGAGATCGATGTTGCGTAAATCCTCGAGAACGATATGTACATTAAATACAGGATGAAGTTCGACACGCATTAAGGCAAGGAGGTTTAGTTGGTACGGCCACAGCTGGCTAGGCCTCCACACTATGTCGAGTGAGGGGAGGGGCAACGACGTGAGAAATAATGGAAAGGCAGTTCATCACGAGCGAAAATTCATAAGTGGCCAAGAAGGCGCCCCCCATTGCACGTCACGAGTCCGTAGCGCCCACATTTCACATTTCACGCCTTACGCGCAGGTGGGTACAGTTGCTGGCCTTGGCACGTCGCCCTCTTCGCCCACATGTATGATTGGGATGGGGCTGTTGAACACAAGTTTGACAAATTTTTCTACGTCAGTGAGGACCAACATTCTAGTCGTCCATGGGCGGCATTCAGGTATTATTAAGCAAACTGGAGAACATAAGCCACATGTGTAGGACCGGAATTTTTCGAAAAACTACAGTACTTAAATTCGTTGCAGCGGCAGCTACCGTCTCCTTGGAGCGCCTAATTTCGAGTGCGCCTTCTTTTGGATTTGGAGTAGTTTATAGACGTTAATTAGATTGTGAAGATGAGATGGTGTTTATTAACTTGGACAAAACCTTTTGCAGGTTTCAGTGCTGGATATATATGCGCAGGCAATTTTCTACGACACCACCTAAGGAGGTATTATGTAGGCATTGTCAGACGTTTGAGCTTATCCACGATATGCGGAAGGAAATCCAATATAACTACGAAATCACGCCGGTTTCTTAGCGATTTTTTTCTACAAGGCCAGATTTGGCAGGAGATCTGCCTGCAGGGACTTCGACCCTGATATCACATTCGCTTCGCCCGAAACTGCCTGGCGCCCGCGCCACAGGCGCCGGCGCCAAAACACCCTAAATCACTAAAATCGATAAAAACTTGTGTACGAGGGTTACTTGACATCCTGATTACGGATACGACATTTATTCTTGGCGCCGGCGCTAACGTAAGACACTGTAGTCACCTGCGCCTTGCAAACACTGAGCCTGACTTGACGGGAACACTTCTCAATCCCAGGTTCAGCCTCAGCAGAACGCTAAATGGGCGCGTATCACCTGTGCTCCCGTTGATCATCGAGTTCCTCGAGCGAGCGCCAATAGCGTCTCTGTTCGTCCCTTCAACGTGTAAGAGTTGCCCAATGAACTCTCTCTGCTCGAGGGACACGATGAACTTGATAACATTCGTTAAGAGCTTTCACGAGAAGTCTGACCATCGCATAGGCGGTCGTCCAGGCATTCGCTTGACATTCCGTGGAATCCAGTCGGTGATCGCTCTGGTCCAGCGGTCGTCCTCGAAACGCATGACGTGCCCGCCCACCTGATCTTCGAAACCTTGGCAAAAGCGGCGACGTCTCTGATCTTCGAATCTTCGATCGTCGGCGGAGTGCGGAGCTCCGGATTCCCTCTCTCACTTGCGTGTAGCGGGAAACTCCGAGCATCGCCCTTTCGATGGCCGTTGAATAACGCCGACGGCATGCTCATCCTGCTACGTAAAGTTTAAGTCTCTGAGGCATAAGTCAAGACAGGAAGACCGCGGAATCGAAGAGGTGGGCACAGAGCTCAGTGTTCTTTGTCTTCTTCGCTACTCCCTCGATGTTCTTGGAGGCTTCCCAAGCCGCTCGCTTCCTCCTGCTCATGGTCAGCTCTGGAGCCAGTCATTCATCATATTAATTTCACGACCTAGGCACACATAGCTAGAGCATTCAAAGATGGTCGTTCCGCTGAGCGGGGCATCAGAAACCAATCCGTTTACAATGAACATCGTCTTCGTTAATTTAGCCCTAAACCGATTTTTCCACACGCGCAGTCGAATTCAGCCAGCATTCGTTCCGCTTGCTCGATGTTTGGGTGTATCAAAACGGTGTCGTCAGCAAAGCGGAGATGGTCCAGTTGCCGACCGTTGATCTTCACTCCCTTGTCTTATCATTGCAGTTGACGCATGTCGCTCTCGAGAGAGGTGCTGAATAGCTTCGGCGAGATGGTGTCGCTCTGTCGCACCCCTCTCTTCATGTCGATGGTGATCTCCTTGTAGAATGGTGAGATTTTTGGTCGTGAAGTTGCTGTAGAGCTCCGAAGAATCCTGATATACTGAGTAGGAATGCCCTGGTTGCCCAGGGCTTCGATAACCGCTTCTGTCTCAACGGAGTCGAAGGCTTTCTTCCAGTCGATGAACGTGAGTCATAGCGGCATCTTGTACTCTCGCGATACTTCGATGAGCTTCGTTACCGTGTGGATGTGATTGATCGTGCTGAATCCTATTCGAAACCCTGCTTGCTAGCATGGCTGTCCTTCGTCTAGTGTTCTGCCGATCCTGTTCAGGATGACTCGTGTGAAGAGTTTTGTAGACTACAGACATTGGGCCATAATTGCCAATGTCGTGCTGGTCTCCCTTCTTGTACAGCGACACAGTCTTGCTGGTTTTAGACAAGGTGGTACCTTATTCCGACAGGTAAAGAGTCGAGCCAGAAACCTGACAAGAACTGGCGGAAGATTCTCCGATGTTCGGGTCGGGACCAGGTACCGTACGTACGATTCTTTACGAGATGGCGAATTCGGAAGGGAGAACTGCAGGAACGACATATCCATTTTGCTCCAAGCGGTATGGTTGCAGGTGGACGGGTTGTCAAGAGATCCGAGTAGAAGTCGTGGATGACTTTCTCCATTGCCCTTCTGGAGCGTGATTGTACCATCCAGACGTAGGAGGGCGGTCATCTTGGTCTTACACTTGGCGAAGTCGCGGTAGGCGTTGCGTATGCTCTTCCGGGCCTCTGCGGTCTCTACCAGTACTGCTGCTCTTCTCTCCTTGAAGTCTTCCTTTATCGCTTCTCTGCATAGGTTCGCAAGCTCAGACGTCAGCTGGTAATTGCCTGCGGCTCGTGCGGCTCCACGTTGGCGAATCAGCTCGAGAGTTTCCAGAGATAGACGTTTCTTCGTAGTCTTGGAACTCTCTGACTTCTTGGCGCAGTCGTGAAGATGTGCGACAAGCCGTTCGTATTCCACGTCGATGTTGTCGATGACGGAATCCTCCCAGAGCCCAGCGAGAGAAGTGAAGTGATCCCAGTTGATGACGGTCTTGGGGCTTCGCTTCTCGAACATTGCGGCTCTCTCTCCTCGCATCGAAAAGCGGAATCTCGCGCGAAGGAGACGGTGGTCGGATACTGTGTAGAACTCTGGAACAACAACGTCATTGGTCAGGCAAAACCTTCGATTGAAGATGATGTGGTCGATCTCGTTGTGTATTGTCCACCAGGCGACTCCCACGTCCAGCGTAGAGAGTAGGGCTTCTGAAACTGCGAGTTACCATGGATGGTATGGGTCGACATGATCTCAGACAGTCTCACCCTGCTCACTCCACTCCGTTCCGTGAGTTCCGATGTGAACTTCTTCAGCCCTTCTCCTTGGTCCGATCTTAGCGTTGAAATTACCGACGATGACCTTGAAGAAGATAAGCTTCCTTGCAGAACTTCTCCAATTCATCTAGTACGCTTCGAGCTCATCCTCGTCGTAGTTGATGTTGATGCGTAAGCGACGAAGATTGTCAAAGCCGGAGTTCAACCACATCTTCTCAATCGCAAACGTCCGGTTCGGGTCGTCAGATTTTCGTACGAATCGAAGTTCATGCCCAAGTGCGTGTTGACGAGGACGCCCACACCGCCAACGCCTCTGCTGTCGCATGTTCCGAGGAACAGTTCTTCTCCAGTCCGTATACGTGTAAGGGGCGATGCCCCCTCGTCTCGGTCGGTCCGATGACGTCGTACTTGATCTTCCTGGCTTGCAACATCAGATCTTCGATGTGAGCTTGCGATGCAAGCGTCCCTCCGCATTCGTACGGTGTTGCTACAGTCCAAACCGTTCACCCCCACGCCATGTTGAGGTTGCGGATAGGATTTGCGAGGGATGGCGCTGGTATGGAGAAATAAATGCCATACTGGTGATCTGAGCATCAAGCAACTTCATTACCAAGTTTTTATCGATTTCGGGAAGAAAAGGGGTGAAACAAACAACACAAACACAAAGCGTATAGCGCCAAATGGCGCCAGCGCTAGAAATAAATTTCATATTCGTGACCAGGACATCGAATAGCATCTGTAGACAGTGCTTCGACGAAAAATGTTTTGAGTTGTTGTGGTAGGAATAGTTCAATAGTGCCGTCACCTTTTATAAACGAGAAATCAAAGCAGGAACCGCAAAACATTCGCACATATCAACTATTGCTATTTCCTTCACTAGTCAGCCCATGCTTGATAAAATACCAATGTACCTTCCCTCAAGTTGATCTAAACCCTTCCAAAAGTTTCCTTCCTTGTAGCAAGTAGGAACGATATGGTAATGTCAGGCATAAATAACGTCTAGTACCGGCACTTGCGATCTGCTTTATGAGCAGGGTAGAAGAACCGGTGCTGAAACGTACACCGTTAATGTAGTGTAGGTATCTAGATGACTGCTTCATTGTTACATCAACACAATCCGAAATGGATGAGTGTTTTCGACTAATGAATAAGCAGTCTCAGTACATTAAGCTCACACGCGAAGCACCACGCAATGGTTGGCTTCCTTACCTGAATACGCAGGTGAAAGTGTTTAATGGCATACTCAGTGTGAAATGGTACAGAAAAGCAAGCTCCAAAAACATCTTGATTCATGACACATCTGCTCATCCTTCTGCTTTGAAGCATGCAGTTGTTAGAAACATGTTCAAGACTGCAGCAAACGTGAGCACAGCGGCGGCAGAGAGGCAAGAATCCGTATGGCTTGCCCGATATAGCCGCCTCCAACGGCTATCGTCTACCAGCTAACCGCAGAAGAACTCACAACAATGAGCACCGACCCGTGCCGCGGCAAAACAAGCTCCCGCTGTGTATACCGTTCATATGTGATGAAGTGGCTACTGCAATTCAGATACGTCTTTTCCGCTCACAGCTGGAAAATAATGTTGTATTAGTTGGTATTCCTAATAATAACATCAAACGCCAACTGGTGCGAAACAGGGGTAAACTGGAAGACCGTTGAGAGTACGCATCAAAGAACA